TTCAGGAAATTTTAAATGTGGTACTAATAGCGATAAAATGAGAGAGAGTAGACTCAATGTTCAAAAATTCGGCCGCCCAACCGCCTAGGCTGCCCAATTCCTATAATGCCTAGGCGCTAGTTAGGCAGGACACCTAAGAGACCTGTGTCTGGGCACTACAATCTAGGCGGCCACCAGGCGCCACTGTGAAGCAAGTTGCCAAGGGAAGAAAAATCCCTTTGCCAGGGTCAAAATTAGTCATTTTCCCCACTAGAAAGGGGGGGAAACGGTTTTGGGGGACATTCTAAACCCCCAAAACCAAATCCGTGCCTTCTAGAGAGAGAACTCCCAAAAAAACCTATATTTCGTGATTTATTGATTGATAGATAAATTTTTTATTTTTTTGATTTCTTCCCAAAACAAAGACAATGCTTCGTGGTAATATTCGGAGCTTCTAGCGGTCAATAGTAAGGACTTTTGACGATCGAATAGACAAGGCTTGCACCGACATCAATTTGATTTTGATATTTTTAGAGTATTATGCCATTATGATATTTGAATAAGGGTTTCGAGCTTTTTTGCTATAACGCATTATGTTTTGGATCATTTGATTTTTCTTTTTTTAATTTTTTTCCTTTTATGCTATATTTACATTTTTGGAATTTAAAGAATTTTTTTTTTTTTGTAATTAATTGATTATTAACTCGTTTGGACAATGAAATTGGCCATATATCGAATTCTTTTATGAATAATTGGTTCTTAGGTACAATGTGTGATGTTTTGATATCCTATTAGTTTTGTTTTACTTTTTTAATATTTTTACATATTTGTAGATGGAACATTTACCGATTTGGACTTGTAGTTTGTGAATAGTTTGTGAATAGTTTGTGAATAGTTTGATATTCAAAACCGAATCTTATGGATATTAATTAATAAATAATAATTATAATATAACTTTCATCTTAATTAATAGTCCACCTATCCCTGTTCATAGGCACCCGGCTGCCCAAGAGACCAGGCCCCCAAAATGCCTAAGCAAACGCATATGCCTTTATGAACATTGAGTAGACTTAGGTGGGTTGGCCATGTGTGGTGCAGAACTAATACAACACTTGTTAGGAGGTGCGAGTTAGTTCAAGTAGAAAGCTCAAAAAGGGCAAAGGGTAGGCCCAAAAGGTATGGTTGGAAGTAGTGAGAAAAGGTATGGGTACTTATGGCTTCACTGAGGATATGGCCCTTAACAAAGCATAATGGCAAACCAGGATTCGTGTAGCCAATCCCAATGAGTTGGGAAAAAGGCTTTGATGGTGATGATGATGATTATCTTCTACATTAGCATCCCTATAAACATATCAACAAGCAATAACGTAACAAGACAAATTTAAAAATGCCTCCAAAAATAATACAAAGTCACCTAGTTAGAAAAACATTGTTATGATTATCACTCATTACTAAACATAGAAAGCTCTTTGGCCAAGTAAAAAGACTTCCAAGACAGAGCAACTAACCATCAATTCACATGTAAATACAGTACAAAGAAACATATTTCTCTAAAATCACATGATTTCACAGAGGACTAAGAAAGCTAGTTTGTTCTTCTTGATGTTGATTTTAAATCAAGAGTCAGAGCCATTATACAGACGATCAGAATTGCACAAAACACTTGATTACAACACCAGAAGAATTAACAGAAGATACAGTCACAGTCCTTGTCAAATCACTAACATATAACAGTCAAATAATTCTATGAACTTCAGCAAGTGATGCCTAATCAAAATCCAAATACACACCACTAGCAAAAACATCGAAAATTAGAAAAGAGTCGCGGACCTTATTAATTGCCTTCTTTGCTGCTAAAGCCACAACAGTATCTTTGACACCTGCACCGAAGGGCATTGGACATCCGAAACAATAGTAAGCTGAATTTAAATAAGAAATGAGGTTATGACATCAACAATTAGACATAAACAAGATTAATGCAGCAGAAAAGACAATAAAGTTAAAGATGTAAACAATAGGAAGAAAGATACTATTCACACCCAAGGTTTTAGTAATTAAACCCATTTCATACAACTCCCTCTTTTATAGAATAGGGTCTAATGTAAATTGGCAGGATAGGCATGATTTCCAAACCAATGGGTGTAAAGCTAGCCCCCACCAAGAAATTATAACTGAAAATTTATTCATTAAAAAGAAGAAATTTTACTAGTATGACAATCCAAGACGTCTAAAGCACACATTTTATTTCTGTTCTTTTCCATTTTGCAGTTCCTTTATTAAGAAAGAAATCACATGCAATCCAAGCATTGACATTGAACTGAAAGCTGTTGCCTATTGTTCAGACAGAAATATATAAATCACAAAATGCATGCTCCAACATTTAAATTGCATAGGTGTGGAGGATTTGTTTCCTCCTATCATCATTGATAGAAATGTTCAACTTCAAAGCATTAGCTGAGGGCAAGTTGATGTAGTCCTCAGTCGATATTGAGCCCAGATGAACAGAAAAGTAATGCTGAGACTCAGAATCATACAACCTCAATCTTCATGATTTAATGATATCAAAAGATTACAGATTTGCCCCCCATTTTTATCATTTGGTGGGGGGTTCTCTCAGCAAGATCATGGCCAGGGAGGGGATTTGGTATTAAGTAGATTGTTGAGCATCTATTTTGCTACAATTTTGCTGTTGTCCACATGAAATAAAGGAGCAGGAGACTGAGGATCTTCGCTCAAGGCGAACATTGTCAATAAAAGAAGAATCCAACATACTAAATGATGGTCTAATCCCATGCAAATCATGCAGCATGTACTTACAGCATGAAGTGCATCCATGACTCACTTTTATATCTCATTGAACATATATTGGAAAGGTCTTTCCTAGAAAAGTAATAATAGACAATAATGTTTCTATATTTTGCATCCACACAATGGTAATTTGTAGGTACTACACTTATTTTTTGTTTCTGCAGGAAAAATCTTAGGAAATTAAAAAATAGAAAATAAATAAGAAAAGAATAACAATAGGTGAAGAGGTGGCCTCTGAGAAGCTCACCTATGAAAGTTATTTTAGGCATTTTCAGATCTATGAAAAGCACCGCCAACTAGAAAGGCTCGAATGGCAGCCGAATTACAATCAAGCAAGTCAAATTTGGCTTCCTCAAACTCATGGAAAAGCCCATCCATTTATTCTCTGATTAGAAATAAAATAGAATAAAATAAAAAAGGGCAACATTCACCGATGTTGCCAGAAAGCGGCAAGAAAGCAAGTGGCTAGTTTACCACAGGGTACGCAAACCAGCTAAACCAACCTATCACCGTATTTTGACTGGTTGTGCCAACTCTTAGACTTTTCGGCTTACCAGACTTGTTTAAGGTTAACTAAGCTTGGTTGGACTTCCTGTTATAGCCAGTTTCAGGAACTTTAAATTAAACCAGAAGGCGCACCAAATAAAAAGAAGGGCGGATGGGGGGTATTAGGGTATAGCTCCTTATTATTCTCTCTCTCTCTCTCTCTCTGAACAATTGAGAGGTCACTTCTTGTTTTATTAAAGATGACTTAAGTTACTAAGGGCATATTTGGTACACGTGAAAATACTTTGTAAAAGTATTTTCATGTGCAAAACCTCCCTCATTTGATTAGGTGTGAGAGTTTTTTCACATTGATCGGTTCCAACGCATTTTTTCACACTAAATGGCAGCCAATTGATGTGAAAAAACTCCCACACTAACCACATGAGGGAGTTTTTTTTTACATAAAAATACTCATGGAAGTTGGTCTAAGAATGGTGATGACCTTAAACTTTCCCTTAACCCATCCCATGCCCGAGTAAAGAGGCATGGTTGTGTTAGATAGGCAGCCAATATAAAATTTTGCCAAAACCTATCATGAATCCTAATAAACTTATAGTATCTGTTTATTCTAGGGCGTTCCCCGGAAACGACGCGCTGTACCGGAACCCAGATATAGTGAGAAATGAGCAAGGGGTAGCTAGGGCATTCCCTAGAAACGACGTGCCGCAACGCCGCCCGGTTGCGGTGAAAAATGTGCAAGGGTTCCCACGACACCCTAGATGAGCATGGGTAAAAAAGTTAGTCCAAGAGAATAGGATTCGTTTAGCCACATGGAATGTAGGAATGCTTACAGGTAAGAGTATGGAGTTAGTGGATACAATGAGATGAAGGAGAATAAACATAGCTTGTTTACAAGAAACTAAATGGCAAGGAGAAAAAGCTAAAGAAATAGATGAGTATAAACTATGATATACAGGAAAAGATAATAATAGAAATGGTGGAGGTATAATAGTAGACAAACATTTAAAAGATAAAGTAGTTAATGTCAGCAGAATAGGTGATAGGCTCTTATTAATTAAACTTGTATTAGGAGAAGAGATAATTAATATAATTAGCGCTTATGCACCACAAGTAGGATTAGATGACAGAATTAAAAGACAATTTTTGGAGGACATAGATGGAATAGTCCAAACACATACCAAATGGAGAGAGGAGCATTTTAGGTGGGGACCTAACAATAGTAAATACTTCATATCCTCTACTATCCTTCCCTAGATGGTAATAGTAAACACTTCATTTCTACATTTTGTTATGGCCTACGACCTAACAATAGTAAACACTTACTTTAAAAAGCAAGACAAACAGTTAATAACTTACAAAAGTGAAACACATAAAAGCCAAAGAGACCTCTTCCTAGTTAAGATGGTAGATCGACCGTCATGTAAAGACTACAATGTTATCCTAGGAGAGATTTTGACTACCCAACATAGGCTCGTGGCCATAGACGTCTGCATAAAGACATGGAGGATATGGGGTGAAAGTAATGGGTGTCCAAGAACTAGGTGCTGGAATTTAAAAAATGAAAAATTGATTTATTTAGGGATAAATTAGTCGAAGAAGGAAAATGGAACTTTGAACATGATGTCAATGTAATATGGAATGAGGTAGTTGAATGTATCAAGAAAGTGGCAAAAGAAGTTTTAGAATAATCTAGAGGGAAAAGAAACTTCGATAAAGAAACTTGGTGGTGGCATGATGAGGCTCAGAAGGCCATTAGCGAAAAATGATCATGTTATAAAACTTGACAGTGTAATAGAAACGATCAAAAGTTAGAAGAATATAAAAATGCTAAGAAAAATGCTAAACAAATAGTAAGTAAAGCTAAACTTAAGGCATATGATAATCTATACAATAAACTAAGAACATGAGAAGGTGAAAAAGATATCTTCAAATTAGCAAAAATAAGAGAGAAATAGTATAGGGATCTAAACCATATTAAATGCATTAAGAGTAAAGACCAAAGGGTTTTGGTAAAAGATGATGAGGTCAACAAAAGGTGGAGAGTATTTTCAAAAATTATTAAACGACAAACAAAATGGGAGCATAGTGGTAGAAGGAACTATTGGTACAAGTGACGGCATAGGTCATAGATACATGCATAGGATTAGGATGTCAGAAGTGAAAGAAGCTTTGAAAATGATGATGATAAGAAAGGCTTTAGGACCAGATAGTATCCCGATAGAGGTTTAAAAGCGCATGGGGGAAATTGGCATTGACTGGCTAACAAAGTTGTTCAACAAGGTGTTAAGAACAATGAAAATGCCAGAAAAAATATCGTGGTACCTATTTACAAGAACAAAGGAGACATACAGAATTGTGCAACCTATCGAGGGATCAAGCTTATGAGTCATACTATGAAGCTCTGAGAAAGAGTCATTGAGCAACGACTAAAGCATGAAACGAGTGTATATGAAAACCAATTTGGTTTTATGCCAAGAAGGTCAACAACTGAAGCTATTTTCCTACTTAGGCAACTGATTGAGAAGTTTAAGGCGAAGGAAAAAGACTTAAACAAGGTCTTTATTAATCTAGAGAAAGTTTATCATAGAGTACCTCAGAATTTGATTTGTCGGGTGTTGGAAAGGAAAGGCATCTCTGGACACTACATCGATTTAGTCAGAGATATGTACGATGGAGCGGTTACTAGTGTACGAACAACTAGTGGAGAGATGAGTGAGTTTTCAAGGACAATAGGTCTACATCAAGGGTCATCATTGAGCCCGTACCTTCAACACAAAGTTAGAACTTTGGAGGGATGCTCTAGAATCCAAAGGCTTTAAAATTAGTCGGACTAAGACAGAGTATATGGAGTGCAAATTTAGTAATAATAGGAATAGAGACAAGGAAGCCGTTAAATTGATGACCATGAGGTACAAAAAAGACCGTACTTTTGATATCTTAGATCGATAATCCAGAAAAATGGAGAGATCGAGGAAGATGTCATACACAGAATTAGAGCTGGGTGGGCGAAGTGGAGACGTGCAATTGGAATTTTATGTGATCGCCGCATATCAAAGGGGCTAAAAGGCAAGTTCTATAGGACAGCGGTGAGACCAACTTTGCTCTATAGGGTGGAATGTTGAGCGAACAAAAAACAATATACCCATGAGCTGGATAAGTGGCAAGACAAGAAGGGATAAAATTCGCAATGAATCTATTCGAGATAATTTACGTGTGACACCAATAGACGATAAAATGGAGAGAGTACACTTAGGTGGGCTGGCCATGTGTGGCGTCGACCAAATACAGCACCTGTTAGGAGGTGCGAATTAGTTCAAGTGGATGGATTGAAAAGGGTAAGGGGTAGGCCCAAAAAGACGTGGTTGGCAGTAGTCCGAAAAAATATGGGGACTTATGGCCTCACTGAGGATTTAACCTTTAATAGAGCAAAATGGAGAACCAGGATTCATGTAGATGACTCCAATTAATTGGGAAAAAGCTAAAATGATGATGATGATAACTTTCATAGAAGTATTTTTACGTGTACCAGACGTGCCCTAATATTGACTCATATGGTGCGGTATAAGTGTGACAAGTCCTGAAGTGCATTCATGAAATAAAAAAA